GACACACTCGAGCATATCACATGTATGGCACGCATGCTTTTGAGTTTGATTGTTGAATCGCCGCTTTAAAGTGTCCTTACAATTAAGTCTTTGCGCAAATATATACACACATAAATCACGTGCTTAAAATGTGGTTGAAAAATTTCTATTTAACATGTATTTGTAGATGTTTATATATGTATATATATATGTGTATACATAATGAGAGTTGATTTTTGTCTAAAAGAAAACGCAAACTTTTGTTGATAATTAAACTGCATAATTTTCAATATATTTTTTTACTATGCAAGAAATGTATATAAAATGTAAGTGATAGTGATTTGAAGAAGTATGAAGATATATCAAAAATATAAAAATATCTTAAGGAACAGTTATTGCCCAATTAAGTCAATTAAATTAAGTGATTTTCGGAGAATATGTTTCGCTCATAGCTACTACTTAGAGGTCCTAGCTTGGATAGTTAATGTACAGCTAACAGTATATGCAGACGAACGAATGTGCGTAAGGGTAAATATCTGTGTTGAGCTAAATTACAACAAGAAAAAACGTTAATTTTGGCTGTAACGCAGCAAAAACACCTTTCGTAAATTAAAAAGCTCCAAACAGCTCTTGGCTATAGCAATTCGATCTATGCAATTTTTTCGAAGACTGTACCGTAGCTTTGGCCAGTAATCCATGCTAAATTTTTGAAGATATTTGGTCAAATAAAAAACGTTTTTCATACAAGGACTTAGTATTGATCGATTAGTTTGTATGTCAGCTATATGCTGTAGTGATTCGATCTAAGTAATTTCTTCGGATGTTATACTGTTTTTTTGGATAATTATGCATAGCAAATTTTGTGAAGAATATATATATATCGTCGAATAAAAAAGTTTTTTCATAGGAGAACTTGTTTCCGATCGTTCAGTTTTTAGTGCAGCTATATGTTTTAGTGGTCTTTACCCAAAGCCTCTTATTCCTTCCAGACTTCTCCAACCCTGGAACCGCTTCCTTGTAAAGAGGCCACCTGACCAGCTTGTGTATACCATAGTGATAACCCGCACTTTACACCTAGGAGATGGCCCGGCGTTTCTTTGGCCACCTTCATGACAACTGCGTATATAGCCGCCGCGGCCCGCTTTCACTCCTCGTGGGAGACGGCTCTATTCTCCTTACGGCGATCACACACCGCAAGTTCTATTGATATAGGCCCTTTAGTGACTTTGCTAATGTTGGTGCAGCTCCCTTGCGAGGCTTCTTGCGGAGGATGGATCCCCCTCCCGCGACTATAAGTTAGGACCCACTCGAGCCCGCTGATCCGCCGCTAAGCACCCTTCTAGCCTACTCAAGTGTGCTGGCATCTTGTTATGATTTCTGAACAGTCTGCCAGTCACCGTAGCGATACTTTCTTGCTGTCGTGATTACTACTGGGGATTTTAACGTTGCCTGTGGTCTCCAAATCCACCATGAACCTACCAGATCTGGTGCTGACCTCGCAGCCGGCAGGCTTCTACTGATTGACTTGCCATCCTTAGTCGGTAACCGCATTTTCAAATTGATCAGTTTTTAGCTGCCTTTCGTGGAGCATGATTCCGTCGCCCCAGGCAGTGATTTGATTTAAAGGCCGGTTCTAACCACCCGCCACACATTCGTTATCTCTGTTAAGAGCTCAAGGCGGGGCCGACCAGCGCAAAGAGGAAGTACTCTTAACCTATTCCTAACACATCAACTTAATGATGACGGGAGGGGAACGTAACGATGTTAACATTTTTTCTTCATTAAAATACTCTTTCCAACAATTTTTACTTTTCTGAATTCTAAATATTAATTTTTGCACTATTAAAGCTTCTAGAACATGTGAAAAACAGAAGAGGAAAGTAAATATTTTCGGATCGCTAAGTGAGTGTTTTTTATACCAAAAAAACTTAGGAAAGATAAAAAACTAAATTCCGTAAAATTTGAAAAAAATATCGCGACCCACATCCCTGGTATTTGTATGTATATATCCCACAAGGGTGCATACATATTTATTACTGTTTTATTATTTCAACCAACGAAATATTACACAAAAGAGAACATGAGAGTGCTAGATAGCAAAAGCTGCAACACAACTTGAGGCGCACGGAACTTGTACTTCACTACGTGTTTACTAAAATTCGAAGTTTGCTTAGAGAAAACAAATTTTCGACTCGTAACTACACTTAGGTGCACTTCAGCGAACACGCACACAACCTATACATATTTACTCATATATCAATGCACATATATATCTGTGTCTTTATTCATATTTATTGTTGGGGTCTGCTTTGTGTGTCACTATGTACACCTTGTTTTTTTATAAACTTAGGTATTTAAATTTGTTTTGTGTTTTTGTGAAGGAAAAGCGAGCAGCGAAGCATCCTTCGGCAAACGCAAGTTAGGCGAAAGCTCTATACACAAGTACGCAAACATATACAAGTATATATGTGTGTGAGTGTTTGCTTACATATTTCCTTTCTGTAAAATATGGGTTTGAAGATTTCATTCCACTTGCCGCATGCATAAGCAATGCATATGCTTATAATAATGAAATATATTTACACATGAGCGTATGTATGCCTATCACACTAATATGTGTGTGTCTGTGCGATCACATGTGCAACATTCGGCAGTTTAAGTGAAATGTGGCTGACCTAAGTTATTAAGCACATAAACATATGCAAATACGACAAGCGTAGATGCACTTAAGTGCAAGCAGCACAAGTGTTGCATGTAAACAAATATTTTTAAATTTGCGAAAAGAAGATTGTGTGTTGGAAGAACTAAGGAAGAAAAAAATAATAATTTTTTTGTAAAAATTTTTTTTACAGTTAAATATAATTTAGTTTTGCAAGTCAACAGCAATTCCAACAAACTTCTTTGGAAAAGTATTCCAAATCAATTTTAATGCGCTTGCAACATGTTGCAGTAACAGGTGAATTGTGTAGTTCAGCAGCCTAAATGTCAAAATATATTTTTTTCCAATATTTTGTCATAATTAAAGAAATTTATAAAAATAGCTTATTAACAAACATTAGTGTGTCAGTTGGTGAACTCATCATTTAATCAAAATGAAAAATCGAAAAATTTCGAAACTTTTTTTTTTATTATTTAAATGAAACCCTCAAATGGCATGTTTCAGAAATTTTTCAACTATATTATTGAGTTGAAACACACTTGTGACGCGACTTTCAATTCGTGACCGAAGCTTCTTTAAACTAATTGAGGTTAGGAGAGAAGCGAGAAAAACTAGCTTTCCAATAATGACAACCTCTTCACAAGTATGGTGATGTTGAATTAAGAATAAAGAAATAAAATAGTCATACTTGTATATACCACAGTTTATGAAAACATCTTAATCACAGAGGGGTTGAACCGTAATTTGTGAAATTTTTGGGAAGCTTCTGACATTTACAAAGTATACCGAAATAATTAAGTTGCTTTGTACAAACTGGAACCGGAGTTATAGCCATAATTTCGCCGAAGCTTTTACATAAGTCTTCATTTAATGCTTCTTCTCAATTTATATTGTGATCTCATATCCAGTTTTACATCAAATAAAATATCTACAGCATAAATTTAACCGATAGGTGGTATAAAGCTTGAAATATTTAATAAATATACATTTACGTTCCACTTACAGTTCTTACAGTCGCTTATAAATTCTTTGGAAATTTATATTCAAAAGTATGTGCAATGCCTAGAACTAAGTTCGAAAGTTTTATTGTTCAAATAAATTGAAATACTCAAACCAAAAATCTATAATATACATACCTAAGTGGTTTATGAACTAATGAGTGGTTTTCATTATGTCAAAATTTATGACAACATGAACTGCTTCAGAAAATTTCTGTTTTGACTGGTTGTTGTCAATCTCAATAACAGTTGTGGGTTTTCTTGACGAGGTTTTCAATTTGGCTCTTAGAATGTTTATATACACAAATGCTACAAAATTAAAGGAATATCTTTTAGACGTTTAATGTCATTAAAGTTGACATTGTGCGAACCACATATAATTAAGAAAAAAACAGCCAAACACAAACATCTTAGGGGGAATATAGGACACTAAGAGGCTTAGTTTTGACAATAATGACATAATTTTGACAATAATGACATAATTTTGATAATTATGACATATTTTGACAATGACGATATAATTTTGTCACTAATGCCGTTATATTGACAATAATGATATAAGTTTGCTACAAATAAGTCAGTTTTGAGGATAATAATAATGACAATTTTGACACTAGTGACATAATTTTGACGAAAATGTCATAATTTCAAAAAATGTAGCACAATTTTGAGAATAATAGTAATAATATAATATTAACAACAATAATATAATTTTGACAACGAAGATAAAATAATGACATAAGTTTGACAACGAAGACACAATTTTTAAAATAATGACATAATTTTGGCACTAGTGGCATAAGATTGACACAGATGTCATAATTTTGATACATATGACATAATCTTGAGCATAATGATTATGCGTTTATATTGACAATATATATGGTAAAATATTGACAATATAATATTGACAATCATGACATTATTTTGACAACAATGACAAAATGTAGACAATAATGAAATAATTTTGACACCAATGGCGCACAATTGATTGTTATTGCATGTATTATTATTCTATGTCCATTTGCTGTCGCAATGCACTCCGTGGAATCATAGTTTGATAAAAAAACTCTGGGGTGAAAAATGCAGATGGTCCCGATAAAAAGTTGCAAAGTCTCCTAAACTGTTTTAACTTACCTTAAAGTACGATCATAACTGCAAAATATATTATCACTGATTTTATCTGCAATAGACTGTTCAGCCATATCAACATAAAATTTACTTCATATTGGAAATACTTACCATTCGTCTACACAATGCATTATGTAATCTATTCATTCTCGTTTTAACTACATACGCACATACATTTTGAGTGTCACTCATACTAATATCGAACTTTCAAAATTTATATACTTTTCCTTCAGGCAAAAGCAAACGCGAGCGAATTTCTGAAAATTTTACAAATAAACGAACTTCAAAGAAGTTGTGCGCACACAAAGGACAACGGAAAACCGTTATTAAGAAAAACTGAAAATAAAACTTGTCGAGAGTGGATAGTAGTGAGTTTAAGACTCGTGCTAGTATACATTTTAAGGAGCTTATTAAGCCTTTAAAAGCTTTTGGCGCTACGCTTTTGAGCAAATTTCGACTGCTCGATTTGATTTGCGTTAACATTTTGTTGTTGTATGAGCTATCGGCCAACGTGCAATAAATACAAAAGTGAAAGCAGAAATACTAGCAACAGCTATCCAACGCAAACGTCACATTGTCCGTTGGAGGCTACACGTATAAGCGTCGCCTGCCGTTACGACAGACGCAAAACACAAAAATTGAGAATCGCAGCAAAGCGTTAACATAATGTTAAGTTCGCTCGATGCTTTAGCCGGTAAAATTTCACCTGGTTCTGGCAAGAATAGTCCGTCCCAGCAGGCACAGTCGCAGCAGCAGCAGCAGCAGCCGCTCGGTTTCCATATCAATCAAACGTCCGAGACGAATATTGCGCAACTACAACAACAACAACAGCAGCAACAACAATCCGCCAACCAATTGCAGGCAACACATTTGCCCGCAACAAGAGAACAGCAACAGCAGCCACAACAACAACAACAGCAACGCTACAATGGCAATCATTATAATGGACTGGACAACAATTGCAATAAATTATGCCACATCAATCACAACAGCATACACCCATATCAGAAACAGCTGTCGAGTCAACATAGCCAACAACAATTGCAACAGCCAACTATATCGCCAACGCAACAGCAACAGTTGCAAAGCTATTGTCAGCAACAGCAACAGCAACAATTGCAACAACAGCAACATGAGTTGTTTCAACAACAGCTGTTGCAACAACAGAAATCACTGCTGCTACAACAGCAACAACAAATGCCGGAGGAATCCGAATCACAGCAGGACTTTCGCAGTTGCCTGAAGGAGAAGTGAGTATTTCATAACCGTACACTAGTAATAACAATAACAATAACAATAATAATAATAACTGTAGTTGGTAGAAAACTAAAGCGAAATTGGTTCAAATCGTAGTACTAACTTTTTGTTGCACACTCATGCGTACATACATACATATAAACAACACTGTACAATTTAGTCGCCTTGTCATACTCACACATTAACATTTATTTGTTGTTGGTGTGTGTGTCTCGGTGAGTGTTGTTCACCACATGTCCTTTCTGACAACTATTTTGTGGTCACTTTAGAAACCAACATTTTTATTGTTGTTACAAATACATACACATGCGTCTTGTCCTATATTTTAGAGTATTAAATTATGTTAAAGGCGTTAACCCACAAAAATTTTATATGAAATTTATTCTTCTCAAAAGTTATTACCCGATAAAAAAGTCGTCAACAAGAAATATTGATAAGCGAACATAATAACTGTTTTTCAATATGATTTTTAATCAAATAGTATATATTTCTCGAATTATATACAGTTCCTTTAGAATATTTTCTGAAACCCAGGTCCAATATTGTTCTTTAAAAATTCCGTCGAAAACTTCGAACATTATTACAGATCCTAAACATATTAGTTCTGCTTGTATTTGGAAAAAAATACATAATGGAATAATATTCTTATAGTTTACCCTTTTGCATAATCCGTTTTAATGTTTATATCTGCAAACTGTCCAACTATTCTACTCTTGACTTGAATGTCATTGTTCGGTATGATACTCAGGTAGTTTAAAATGAATTAGTTCGGGAGTTGTCAACTGTATTTTGGGTATTACTTGAACATATTTTTGTAGTTGATTGCTATTCTCTAAAAATGTTTATTCAGCGAAACATATGTAGTAGAGTACATAAAACGACATCACCTATTCGCTTGGTCGTTCAAATGGTCTCAACATATTTTTTAATTTTTTTTAAAGATTTTGTAATCTTTATACGAAAATAATTAAACAAAAAAATGAAAATTCTCAGAAGAGTTTGGTAGTTCATACGAGTTAAGAAAACAGCAGCTCTAATAGTGATTAGAAATCAAATGCTTCGGAACTATTTAACGAGATTTTACGGAACTCGTCTGGAAATATTGTGGGCCCTTTTTACTATACCCTGAACAATCTATATTAAGTTTGCCACTATGTTTGCAACACCCAAAAGGAAACTTCGGAGACTTTATAAAGTATATACCATGCGTATATAACTGTTAATTTTACCATGACTGTGTGTATGTTCGCGAAGTTTTTGAGATATCTGTTTCAAATTTTGCATGTGTCCTTCTCTCCCAAGGAAGCCGCTCATTTGTCGGAAACGACGATATGGGACCACTATTGTATTGTATATAGCTGCCATACAAAATGACCGATACCGAAAACTTATTTATTTGAAAATATCTTCACAAACATTCTAAAAACAAAAAAAACAATCAGATCAGACCAGCCTTTTGAAAACCATACAAAATTTCGTGGTGATTATTTTGGACTTCGACGGTAAAATAACGCAATGAAATTTGGATTTATTTCAGGAGTTATTTTAGAAATCTTTCGATATCATTTACATTTTTTTTATAAGCAACATATAAAGATATGTTTATAACTTTAGCTCAGACTGTAATTTTAATGATAAAAATATATTTTTCGTTTACCTATAGTTTTTTGTTGGCTTGTGGAATACTTTTAAGGTAAGAATTTGAGAATAGAGTTAATAACTAAAGAAGAATTTAGTATTGCTTGAAACTTTGCTAAATATTACGGCAAACATAAAGTGTATTAGAAAGTCAAAGCAAGTTTTCGAGAAACCTTTAAGTAGATATATTTTTCAATGAAAATTTAGATATATTTTTAAGTGAAAATTTAGGTATATTTTTTAACGAAAAATTAAATATATTTTTCATTGAAAAATAGAAACATTTGTGCTGAGAACTTAGTATAAATTTTATTCAAACAATTATGCTATTTTTTAATTGATAATTTTTCGCTTAACTTTGCCTTTTGTTAATTACCTACTTGTAGAAGATAGAGGAATTCTTTACATATATAAAATTCTTAATTGTTTATTTACGCAAAAAGTGGTTTAATTTCACTCGCTTTTTCATGCTTCATAATTTATTCAGCACGCTTGTTAATATGAATTTCGCTCATTATTGATGGAGTGTCTCTGCAGTATAAAAAAAGCCACGAAGTTGGGAATTAAGTGCTTTAAAAATACTTTCATGCACTGAAAATCGTATAAAACACAGTGTTTAATTGACATGAGCTAGCTTTCATTAGCTGGCTTTATTTGCCTAAGCTTGTAATCTTTCGCATATAAATGAGCTCACACGAACGCTTGTCAAAATAATTAAAAAATTCTATATTTTCACACAAAATATAGCTCGCTTAACACGCGAGCGAGTTTGTGGAATAACTGTAATAGTATATGTGTTTGTGTGTGCAGTGTTTTCAATTAGTATTTGTGCAAGCGTAAAAAAGCACTTACGATTTTTTTGGTATGAATTACATACATTTTTAAGCAGCTGCACATACACATACATACATAAATGCGTACAGTCAGACGGACATTTTTATGTTTATATGTGAACGTAACAAATTACTATAAAATTACCACCACACCCGTACTCTCTGCCCGATTTTGGCATAGTAGTTTCATGTACCTGCACTAACTCGTGAGTTGCGGTTGCTCATACGACGTGTCGTACCACGCTTGACTAATTTAATGTGTAATAACATTTGACATATTGTTGCCACATATTGTTTTCGATTTGCTTGTTTTGCAGCGGTCACAATGAAAGGTTCCGGCTATAAATACATATCTACATATGTGCAATAATATTCATATATTCGAGCGTATTTATGTGCTTGTTGTTGTTGTGCGGGTGTTACCCTCAATTCAGCGCGCCATAAAAACTACACTAATAAATTTAAAGCAAATAAAATGCTTTTCATGTTAGGGCCAGTTTCATATGCTATATCCCGAGCATAATAGAAAGCACAACGCAAATAGACATACATACATACGTACATACATCCACACATATATATGTATTTACATGCATACACAACATTACCAGTCTGACTCACTGCATGCAAAGCATTTATGAATGTTCATAAGCAAAAATACACGATAAAACTGTAATGCATATGAGCAACTTAAAACTGCAAATGTGTGTGTGTTTGTGTGTGTGTATGTCTATATATTTGTATGCCGCACTCATAAAACTGACAGCTGCGCCAACCTTTGTGCGTTATTCTTTTATACTTTACTATACAAATTTATTTCCCTCATATTCACCGTTGTTTGTTATTCACCACACCAGCGGAAGGACATTTTAAGGAGCAACGCATGCACATACATACATGAAGAAGACATACAAGCGAGTAAGTGCTGGGTGTAAAACCAAATATACGAGCTTTGTTCCAAAAAAAAGAAAAAACTTAAAAAATTTTAAAATTACCGTGAAATATATGACTGACCCTTAGCAGCATACACATAAATGCTCTAATAATAAAATAAAAAAATTTATTGGTGGTCTTCGTTATTAAAAAACAATAAATGAAGAAAGAAACCTTAACTTTGACTGCAGCGTTGCTATAATACCCTTCACAGTTACATTTCTTATAGCATAAATAAAAAAAAAGTGTCTTGATTTTGATCTTTGTTAGTATGTATAGCTGCTATATGCCATATTAGTCTGATCTGAAAAATTTAGTCACATATAGTAGTGTTGGTTTGGAAAATAATTCATGCCAATTGTTGTGAAGATAATGTGTAAAATAAAAAAGTTTTGTATAGAAGAACTAGATTTTGATCGATCAGTCTATCAGTATGACCGAAACGTGAGTAAAATTTTGGATCCGTACAAACGGATAAACCTTGGTACAACCTGGTAGACAAAGGCAATTGAAGTTACTAAAAATAATTTTTTTTGTTAAAGTTGATCCTTTAGTTTTCTCTCATATGAAAAATTTGTCGGTATATACTTAGAATGGTAATAAATTATAGTTTAAAAAAACTAAAAAAAACCCTTTAAAGGAATTTTTAAACCCACTCCTATAAAGCTCTTCCCTGACATCTTATTTCTATATATTGTATAGTAGTATGGTATATTTTAACATAATTGATATATGGGAAGTGGGCGTGGTTATTATCTGATTTTCACTGCGTATGAAAAAGGGCTAAAAGGACTTCTTGTAAGCAAATTTGGTTGAGTTAGCTTTAGCGGTTTGGAAGATATATACATTAAACCATTTAGTGTCGAGGTTACGCCCACCTTTAAAGTAATGGGAAACTATTATCAAATTATCGCATTGTCATCGGTCTTTGATACGTCTGGAAAGTTTCAAGTTAATCAGACCTTTGGAAACCGGTGAAAATTGAGCTCTAGGATTCTATTACATACATACAACCCATGCTAATAAAAGGGTATTAAAAATATAAAGAATGTTTCCTATAAAAACTTATAGAAAATATTGTATTAGGTTAGTTGAGATTAGGTGTTAGGCTTGACGAATTCTTAAACGGGAGATCAAACTAGGGCAAACATTTATACAGAAATGGTATTCTCTTTCATTTAATTTCATTCATATGAAAATAGGTATACGTAATGTTTCCTGTAGAACAATTTTTTTTTAGTCAGGATAGTTGACTTGGCGAAATTAAACTTGGAAAAATATTTATGTTTCGTTAGATGTAAGCCTTTGGTAGCAGTAGTTTTACTGCTCCAGAGCGAAGCCATCTTCAGACTGTCCACTCCTATAGTATGGCAGCAATATTAGTCTTGAGTTCGCTGACTGTGCGCTGAAGACTAGTGAAGAGTTGTTCAAACTCCTTATCTCTAATGAAATGGGAACGGGTAGGAGCTCCGTTGGTTTCTTGTGGTTCACTACGGGACTGTTGGGCCATACACCAACTGCGCAAGCGTTGGTCAAGATCCAAGATCAAGGCAAAAACGCGTCTGCGGAAACAGCGGAAATAAAGATAA